GCTGCTAGCTGGGATAACTGAAAATGTTTTAGATGCTCCAGGAAAAAATGTGCAATAGCATAAAGTAGATGAAGGATGTAAGGAAAAAAGCTCCTGTTCTCTAGGCACTGGGACCATGAGCGCAGAGCTGGCAGTAACAGCTCAGCAGCCAATGCTAACTATGTTTTCTGTGGTGAACATCTCAGTCAGTTGTGACCAGCAGGGACAACTTCAGCGTGACTTTGTAGTTTACAGCTTCTGTGTAAATGGAGCTTCAGTTACCTCTGAAGAGCACGATGGGTTGTAGGAGGAGGGCAGCAGGCATTGTCCAGCTCTGCTGCCTGTTCTCTGTGCTGACCTGCGTCACGGGCAGAAACCACAAATCTGAGTGTCACTCACCAATAATGCAGGGTGTGGAGGAGAAGGTATTTCATGTGTGTGCATGGTGAGTTGCTTCACTGTCTTCACAGACAGGCCCAAACAGCCCCTTCCCAACAGCCAAGTTCTTCCTTAGATCATTTGCCAGAGGAGAGGGGAAGGAGTATGGAAATCAGCAACAAAGGTACATCCCTAAGTAGGTCTAAAGGGCATGACTCCCCCTTCATCTGGAGAAAGCTGGAAACGATACAGGAGTGGGATGTGTCCTTGGAATATCAGGAGCTGGCTGCTGCAGGGGAGCACAGCTTGCAATGTTCTCATTTGCCCCTGGTGAATGGAGTCAAGTCTGCAGGACTTGGAGAACTGGAGGACTGGAATCTCCACCCTGTGTGCTCTGGCCAGAGGACAGTTCAGGCTCTTGGTGGCAGCGTCTTGTCGCGTGAGCACCAGGAGCTGGTGCGGAGCCAGGGGACACCCACTGGGCGCTTGTCCTCCCCAGGTGCAGGCAGCAGCGGCAGCGCGGGGGCGGCGATGGGCAGGGCCCGGGAACGTGCCCGCTCCTGGCTGCATTTCCTCACCTTCACCAGGGGGATACCGAACGGCAGAACCTGTGGGTTGTCCTTGCTGAGTGCAGCGGTGGCAGAGGTTGTGGAGTCTCCATCCCTAGAGACATTCCAAACCCGTCTGGACATGTTCCTCTGGGATCAGCTGGAGGTGATCCTGCTCTAGCAGGAGGTTGGACTAGATTATCTCCCGAGGTCCCTTCCAACCCCCACCACTCGATAACTCTGTGTCAGTGACAAAACCCATGCAGAGCCACAGGGCAAGTCCAGCCCCTCAGCCTTGACACGAGCAAGGGGCTGGTCAGCCAGCAGCAACAACCCACTTCCCACGGGCGGGCTGTGGGATGAGTAACTGTCCCAACAATACCAGGTGAACAGCATGTTCCCTCGTTACATGAACTTGCCTTTTCTTTCATCTTTTGTTTCCTATTTAACCACTATGTCATAAAAATGCACATTGCTCAAAATATCTGTGGGACTTTGATAATACCACAAGGCAGCAATTAAAATAATGATATGTTAATTAAGACTTAAAACAACATACTAAAATTTCTAAGATGCTATTTACATGACCTCCCATTGAACACAACCACAAATGACTACTTATCATTTGTGTCGTGCTCTCTTTAAAATACAAGGCTGACTATTAATAAATCAGATTCTGCCTCAGTTTTATAAGCACATGCACATTATTAAGCTGTTTTTTATACATTTCAAAACCAGAATGCCAGTCCTGTGGCTTAACAGTAATTTCATGGTAGCATGTTGGTGATTAAACATGCAATTATGCCTTACTTCAGGAAAAACACAGAGGTGAAGCTCTGGCTCCACACGTTCATATCAGTAGACCTGGAAGATGAAACTACTTGGACAAAAAAACTTTTCTTTATTTCATGTGCTTATAAAGTTTGCCCCAATATCAAATCATCATAGGAAGGTTCCCTAAAATGAGCTGCAAAGCCACACCTTAGTGTGACTTTCTAAAGTGGTCTTTTAACTTAACTTAACTCAGTGTAGCCTGAGAAGCCAAACCATCTTTCTGGAATAAAACATGACTTTCTGAAACCTGCCCCGAGCTGCTGCTGCCTGTCGGTAGGAGCCACCACCTGCAGCTGCCTCCTCAGCGGGTTCCTTGAGGTCAGGACTAATTATTAGTGCTCAAGGCAGGAGAGAATCAGCATCAGTTTTCCACACCTCCCTCACAATTTGCTGTAGTAGGAGTAATTAAAATAGGGAATTTTATTAGGTAAGTGTTATTTGTTCTTTCTGTTGCAACACAGGTGTGCCCAGATTTTTCCTGGAAAATAATAGAACGCAAGGATGAATTCCAGTGAGGCACCTTCAGCATCCCCGCGCCGGGTGTCGCAAGGGTGGCAGCTGGAGGGGCCCGACCAGTGTGGGGGGCTAAAGGGAGCTGTGGGAGGTGTTGCTGGTCCCTCCACCGTCCATGGGGAGAGCAAGGGGGGTCCAAGAGGTGACCTGGGAAGCCCCAAGAGTTAACCACAGGCTGGGCCTGTCCCTGCCCTTCTCAGGGATCAGGGCTCAACCCCTGCCCTCACCCAGCCCTGGAGCATGTAGCTCCCCTAGGGGACACCCCTCAGGCTCCTCCAAGAGCGTGGGAGCAGAGGGAGCGTGGTATGGTCCAGAGGACTGCAGGGATATTGTGGATGGAAGAGTCTCGGGCAGGGATTGTGCCCTGTTACTTGCTCGTCCAGAGTGCCCAGGACACAGGCACATGGGAGCCATTCTCCTGACCATAGTGCTCCTTCCTGGGTCATGGTTGCGTGTCCTGTGGTGGAATCTGGGTGCAAATGAGATCACTGTTGGCCAGTGGTAACCTTGAAACCCAGAGCTGTATCTGCCACAAGCCAGGGGATGCGGGGAGCACACTGAGCCAGCCAGTGCAGGGGGCAGCTGCTGCCCTGCCAGGTCACAGAGGGTCTGTTGGGGTGACAGGGGGACACAGCCCCAGCCCACAGCGGGCAGAGCTGCAGGGCTGCAGCACCAGCTGCCTCTAGAGCATCCCTGCCCCTGCCACCACGGCTGGTGCTCTAGTTGACACACTGCAGGGACCCTGTCAGTGTTTTGAAGGAAAAGCTGAGTTCTCTCTTATCTTCATATAAAATCCAGGCAGATTTTCTGGAAAGGGGTCTTTAAACTGTGTGGCCCGCTCTGTTCTGACACACATTAAGTAGCACTTCTCTGAATCATCCCATTGATTTAGAAGGTGGATTTAGGAAGTAGTAAATGTGGCAGAATCCAGCCAAGAATGTGTCTGAACTGGCTTTCCAGGAACAGCTGGGTCAGGTGATGACAGCAAGAACTGCTGTGTCAGGGAGAGCCACCGACGGCCGGGAGTGCCAGGAATAACTCCCAGGAGACTTTTCATCTTTTTACTTGTCTAGACCATACCCACTTACTATCACTTGTTTTCCTCACCCTTTAGCAGTGCTTTTGGAAGCAAGAATCAAACAAAGCTGAGTTTGTATTTCTGGAGGGGCCTCAGCCTGTGTATCCCTGCCACATTCATGGCTTTATTTCATTCCACTCCAAAGCTTGTGCTCTGGGCTGCACAGCAACTGCTGGGGCAGAGCGGGGACAGGGTCGCTTGCAGGTCCTGGCTGCATGACCTGGGTTTTGTTCACTTTCTTGCTGAACTCACTGAGTTAAAAGCTTCAGCTCTGCTATTGCTGTATGTTGCAGCCAGGGAGGCAGCACTTTGTCCCAACCCCAAGTCCCAGTGCCAAAGCTGAGATGAAATGCAAAGACCTTCACATGTTTCCCCTCCCATGACCGTCCAACCCGTTCCTTTCCAGGCTCCCCCACACCAGCTCCCTGTTGGGAAGCAGCCAGGCCTCAGGTCTTACAGAAGTGCCCCCATCCGGGTACCAGCGACGGACAACACCACTCCTCCAGAGAGGAGCTTTGTCCAGCAGCTCCGGGACAGCCTGGCTCCTCAGAGCAACGAGACAGGGCCCCAGTTTGCACCATTTGAAGAAAAGCTTTATTTGATTTCTGAGCATGGCAGCACTTGGAGAGAGGCTGAGGGCAGCAGGGGTGTGATAAAAAGAGCAGATGGGTTTTGTAACCTGCAGGGCTGGAGCACATAGGTTGGGATCTCTTTTTGCTTTGCTGTGGGGAGTTGCATCAGAGCCTTAGTGGGCAGCCTGGGTGATCTGCTCACGGGAGGAAATCACCTTCCCATCCTGGACTTCCTCAAAGATTGTGCGGATTTGACGGGTAGTCACAGGTCCTGCAACGGAGGAAGAGGAACCGTTATTCACAGGGAGGCAAGGAGAAGATGTCTTCAAGGTTTTCATGGCTAGATTGGTTATGACCAACAGCTGCCTCAGAAACCAAATATAACTGCCACACTTCTACTCCTAAATACTTTATTATATTGTTTCAGACTGCAGATATTATCTTCTGAAGCATGTTTTGCTGTGTCATATGAGTGGTTTTGAAAGTACAGTAAAATAGTAATTTGAGTAAATGAGTAAAAGGAGTCTGTGCTAAGAAAGCGGCAAAGGCTGTGATAGAGCTGTGTGTGATCAGTGCTTCTGCCAAGATATGTTCTTACCTTCTTTCACAGGCTGTGAGACATAATGGGAAGACATGCTAGAGGAGAAAACACAAAGAATGGTCATCAGAAACAGAAAAAAGTCAGCACTAAGACAAAATCACTATTTCAAACCCCGTCTTTTCCTCTTGTACCAGCATGTGAGTAAAATGTCTTCTGGAAACTGCCTAGTGTCAAAATTTAAAGGAAGAAAATGGTAAGGATGTGTGTGCCATGGGGATGCAGGCATAAGGACACCACATCCCACCTGCACCGAGCAGCAGATGCACCTTCTCCAGGATCACACAGCCACTTGAGGGGTGGCAAGTGGATCCCAGGAATGCTGCAGCACTGGGATAACCACTGGACTGTCCTGGACTGAAAAGGGAGACCCTGTTTCATGCCATGAGCCAGGAAACGGGTTCGCAGGAGCCTCCAGGGAACACAGGTTGTTCATTTTTTCCTTCTGTATGACCCGACTCCTCCCGCTGTGCCCCCCCAAGCCAAGCCCCGCTGCCTACTGGGCGTCCTCTCCCTCCAGGAGCCGGCGGTACGTGGCGATCTCCTGCTCCAGGCGGCACTTGACGTCCAGCAGGACCCTGTACTCATGGTTCTGGCGCTCCATGTCGCAGCGCAGCTCGGCCAGCTGCTCCTCCACGCTGCTGATCAGCGCCTGCAGCTGGGCCAGCTGGGTGCCATAGCGCGCTTCTGTGTCGGCCAAGGTGCCCTCCAGCGCCGCTTTCTGCGGGCAGAGGAGAGGGGCGCGCTCAGGGGGGCAGGGGTGGATCAGCCCCGCGTCCCCCAGCCCGCAGGGAGCCGGCCCCTCGTACCGTGCTGAGCTGGGACTGCAGGTCGATCTCCAGGCTCTGGATGGTGCGGCGCAGCTCGGTGATCTCCGTCTTGCCGCTCTGCAGCTGCTCGGTGTTGATGGCCACCTCCCGGTTCAGCTCTTCCGTCTGCAGCGAGGCAAGACCGCGCGGTTCCAGCGGGACGGTGGGCACAGCCGGGCCCCCCCGCCCCCTGCGCTGCCCGCCCGGCTCACCTTGCTGAAGAACCACTGCTCGGCATCCCGGCGGTTCTTGTCCGCCAGGCTCTCGTACTGCTCCCTCATCTCAGCCAGGATCTTGGTGAGGTCGACTCCAGGAGCTGCGTCCATCTCCACGCTGATCTCTCCACCCACCTGCCCGCGCAGGACATGCATTTCCTGCAGGAAAGAGACACATGATGCACGTCAAAGTGAAATCAGTATATTCCCATCATGACAAATTTCTTATCTGCACCCAGCACGTGACCCCCACAGACCTCCTGGAGGCCCTGGCAGAAAGGATTGTTTCCCTCTCCTTTACTCAGTCCAGAGTCTCTTGACAGCCCTCATTTCACACAGTCCTGCACATTCAACCTGACCACTTTCTCTTGTGCACAAGGTACATTCCATAGGTTCCAGTTTGAGCCTGGCTCTGTGCTCACCTCCTCATGGTTCTTCTTGAGGTAGGCCAGCTCCTCCTTCAGGTTCTCAATCTGCATCTCCAGGTCAGCCCTGGCCAGGGTCAGCTCATCCAGGACCCTGCGCAGGCCGTTGATGTCGGCCTCCACGCTCAGGCGCAGAGCCTGCTCTGTCTCAAACCTGAGGGGACAAGAACAGTCACCAAAGTTACAGGAGATCTTGCCCAGCCAGGGACAAAGCACCTTGGTTTGTTGTTCACTTCCTCCATGCTGCTGCAAGCATCGTGTCAGTCCTGCATGACCCTGATGGTGCATGGACAACCTTCTAATGGTAAATGCAGGGGAACAACTGACCAAAGAGTGTCCATCTGAGTCCATAACATCACCTTGACCCTGATGTTACTGGGTCTGGGCTTTGTTGAGCTATACACACAAGTTAAATGCACAGCAGAGGCACAGTGCAAGTTCTGTGCAGGAGAGCTCACACCACAGAGGAACAGGGAACAGGAATAAAACAGTGAAGGTTTTGAAGGAACCGAAACAATCCCCAAGGGCCTATAGACTTAGATAACCAGCTGCTTTGGAAATTACACCTTCAGTTTGAAGGCTTTGTTTCCATGTTGCCTTTTTGGGTTTTGGGTGGGATTTTCTCCTGATTTCAGTTCAATTTTTCCAGGAAATGTGGCTTACTTGGTCCTGAAGTCATCAGCAGTCAGCCTGGCATTGTCAATCTGCAGGAGGAGGTTGGCATTGTCAACTGTGGCCCCCAGGACCTGGAGTGTGGAGGATAAAGAAAAAGCACTGAATGAATGTCACGAACTCCTGACCCACCAAGGGACAGGAGCACGAGTGAGAGGATCAGGACAGGAATAGTTTTGGGGAAGTTTGGGGTTTCTGTAGCAGAAATATGTATTGAACCAGAACAAGGAGACACAGCTGAGATTGACTGCAGGGAGGGGGTGACCAATCTGGGACCTTCCCTTCCAAAAACCCTCAGGAAGTGCTTCAGAAGGGAGCAGGAAGCCACATAAGATGCGTGAGATCTGATGATGTCCTTTGTTCCCATGCCTCAGGGCATGATTATGAAGGGTCAGAAATGACCCTTCTGCTCTCCCATCCCACACACCATGCAGCTCCTTTGGCAGGTGGACCAGCAGGCACTTGTGCTTGGCAACCCTTGTGCCACTTCATTCTGGAATGGATTTAATATCTTGACTGCAAAAATGGAGCAGAATGCAGCTTCTGATTTTTATGTTACAAAGCCAGGAGCAAATAATCCAGAATGGGAGAAGATTCAAGTCAGAGTAGACATCAGTCACGAGGCCAAGAAGAGCGAGGGAAAATTAATTCCCTGCATCACTTGCCAGCCCTGCAGCTCCACTGCACATAGCCTTCCATTGTGTTTACTGGGGGCAATTCATACAGAAAAGTAATAGAGAAGAAGAAAGTCAAGTCCTGAGTATTTCCTCCAAAATGGGGTGTTGGGAATCAGAACAGAACCAGGAGAGATCCCACCAAAGCTGCCTGGCTGGGTGGGTTTGCACCAAGCCTGGCCCTGGGGCAGTGGCTGCCAAAAGGATGCAAAAAACTCATTAGTGGCCAGTTCCATTTTTGTCTGTTTTGCATCTAAATGACATCAACACAGAGGAGCTGAAACAAGTTTGCAAATTCTTTGGCCTGGGTGTTTACAAATATGACATCAATGTTTCCCAGTTTTTGCACACCTAAAACTTTCCCTGCACACTCCTTTAAAGCTCCCGAAAACAGCTCAGTAGCAGTGCAGACTTGGCTCTCATTCTTCATTTTTGCATTATATTCTTTTACATCTGCTTCTTCCAGTGAAAACCACCATCTGTTCCATAGAAAGCTGACACTGATACTCTCTGAATTTCCAGCCCAGTGCTTTGCATGGGCATGAGACACAGTTTATTGACACAGTTGGCTCTGACTAATGACAGAGGGAGCAGCCAGTGTTTCTGCTTCCTCTCTGATAAGAAGACATCCCACAGTATTATTCAGCACATCCTACCTTGTTCCTGAGCTCCTCGATCGTCCTGTAATAGGGGCTGTAGTCACGGTCTGGACCAGGTCCCTGCTTCTTGTACCACTCCCTGATCTTGACCTCCAGGTCGGTGTTGGCCTCCTCCAGGGCACGCACTTTGTCCAGGTAGGCAGCCAGGCGGTCGTTGAGGTTCTGCATCGTCTCCTTTTCGCCAGCTGGGAGGATGCCATCGCCACCTCCAAAGCCAGCCCCAAAGCCAGCTCCAAAGCCAGCCCCAAAGCCAGCCCCATAGCTACCCCCAAAGCCACCGCCGAGGCCCCCTCCTATGCTGCTGCAGTAGCTGCCCCCGTAGCCACTTCCGAGCCCCGAGACAACGCGGGAAGAGACCGAGTAGCTGCTAGAGCCTCCATGGACACTGGGGGCTCGGTACCCTCCGCCCCCAACCCGCACGGAGGAAATCCTGCTGGAGCCTCCCCCCAGGCCACCGAGTCCCTTGAGGGAGGTGGAGGAGGAGTATTGCCTGACAGTGGTGCTCATGGCGAAGGCTGCTGGAGGCTGGAGGGTGGAGAGAGGCAGCGGCTCTGCAGCGCAGGCAGCGAGTGCTGGCTCCCCTGCCCTGGAGCCCTTTATAGCCCGGGCGGGAGGCGTTGCCGGTGCCTGTCGTCACCCCTGACGGCCAGAGCCAAATTCCAGAATCATCATTTTTCTCTCCCTGATTTCATGTCTTTTGTCACATCCCACTAGAAGCACTGAGGCTTTCAGAGGATCTTCTCCTTCCGCTTTGGTTCCCAGCACCTGGCATGATTCAGACCAGAGGTTCCTGGCTCCTGGGTACACTTCAGCCACACTGGAGCCCCGGAGCTGCTCCCTCCAGCTCCACCCGCTGCTCCTTCATCAAGTAACACAAGTGAATCCTCTGTGATTTGCCAAGTCGCCCACAAGTGTCTTATATCATTAAAAATCTACAAATCTATTTATTTGCTTTTTTGAAGAGTCTAAAGCAAATGAAAGCTGCCGACTTAAGAGCTCTGCACATCCATAATCCTTATATGGGCCAGCCCAGAGCCAGATGGAAATTTTCCCGTCAGGACCTCTGCCCCAGGACAAGCACAGACCTGGTGGAATGTGTGTACTGATACTGTGTTTGGCAGAAATCTTACAGCTCAAAAGAGAAGAAACTCCAGTAATTTCTGGTCTACAGACACTGGAAAGTCCCCAGCAGTGTTTTTCAGTCAGTTTAGGAGGCAGATGCCCGGTGCTTCCCAGAGGCACCTGCTTTGCATCACCTTTCCCAAACTCCACAGAAGCAGCCTGTGACTTCTAAAAGACCTGTAGAAGCTAAGAGCTTGTGTCCCACAATTTTTTCTCTCATTGCTGAGACAGGTTTTAATGTTCAAATAGTCTAACTCAGAGAAAAACAATTTGAAGCCACTTTAGATACACGCTGCCAGGACACACTGTGTGTGACTTCTGATGGGAAGAGCATGATCAGTTCTTCTCAGGGCTTGTGCCCGCGTGCAGAACAGGCTTTTTCCTACACATTTGCAGCTGCAAGACACGACACTGACAGAACCCAACAGGAGCAGCAGCACCTGTGGCAAAAGCTGTGGCGGGCAGCACATAGCACAGGTAGCAGTGAGGGGCACAAGCACCATGACCCCAGCAAGGCAGAGGGTTCCAGTAGGAGCAGGGGTGAGCAGAGACAAGGCCCTGCAGCCACCCCGACAGCCACACCTGCATTGTGCTGCTGAGGGGCTGAGCACAGTGGTTCAATAATGCAGCTGGACAGGTATTAGCATGAAAAAAAAAGCAGCAGAGAACCAGGAAGGGAGACACTGCACTGTTTTATTCTTTGTTGGGGAAAATATCTCTTTGCTGATGTGGCACCAGGTCTTTCAGTAGAGAGTGGAAAATGCACACCCAGGGCTGGCCTGCCTGGCTCCAGCCATGTCGATCTTGGATAAGAGACGTAATTTTTTCTTTGAGCAGAGGTGCCTGTGAGGTAGTGAAAGAGGGTTATAGGGATTAGGAACCCTTTTGTGCTTTCCCTCCTGTGGTGATCTCCTTCCTTCCCAGGGCCCCTCTGGCTGTTTTCACATTCTAAAGCACTTAACTGATTTTGGAGTTGCTAAGATGTTCCCAGAGCCTCACCCTTGGTAATTCATAGAGCCTCTTTTCTTTCATCTGTTCCCTGAAGGACACAATAACAACAACGCTTTATCTGCACTGCTGCTAGATCCCAAGGCCTTAACAGGGAGTCACGTTCTCTTTCTTTAGCAGCTCCAGGAGAGGTGGTGTGATTTTTCTGGGCGGCCACCAAGGAAGCTTAGCCAGAAACAGACGCCAGACTGTTCCCTGAGGGCTGTGGTCTCTGGGCAGCATCGCCTCAGAACTGATGGGCTTCAGGTTTGGATTTTTGACTCCCCAGGTTGCAAAATCTGGAGATTTGGGATGCACACATGCCCCATACTTTGGAGAGGTAGGGGAAAGGAGGGGACTTGGGGACAACCCACTGCTGCCAAATGGCAGAGCCTGCAGATGGTGGTGCTCAGCTTGTAGAGCAGTCCTGAGGCAACCTGGCAGGGTGAAGATCCGTGCTCCTGCTGGCCTGCTGCCCTCCATGGTGGGGGGTACAGGATTACCCAACAGCTGTCATGTGGGAGCTCTGCACAAGTGCTGTTCCTTGGCCACCCTTGCTCTGAGTCCTTCCAGATGCGCTCACTCTGCTCATGTTTGCTCCAGCAAACACCCTCCTGCTCCAGGCAATTCCCGTGTTGGCCGTGAGCCCCCCACATGGGCCAAAAACTGTGCTGTGAGTTCTGTCGCCCCACTCAGGTCATCCCCACATTTTAGGTCAGGCCACAGCTCCACAGGCAGGAAGTACCTGGGTTGAGGGGTCTTCATTCTGTACTATCATTACCTCAGCCCATTTTTAAGTTCTTTTAGTGAAGCTGGCACAGGAGCCAGAGAGGAGATGTGCAGATTGCCCTGCAGTATCAGCTTTTTCTGGTCTTCTCTGATCAATGTTCTTGCCAATCAGCTGCTGCCCTGACCTCCAGCTGGACTCCTAAACAGTAATCCCAGACTGCCTCCACTCTTACACCTCAGCACAAAGTTCTCCTTGCACCAGCTCTGTCAACAGGGTGCGATTATACAGAGGAGCATAAACTGCTTCAGCTATTTCATATTAACAGAGGAATTCAGTCTCCCAGGCTCTTCTGAAACACTCACCCACAATAAATTCCCTTGAGATAAAAAAAAACAAACACCAACACATCATAATTTCAGGAGATTGTATCAGTCTGTTCCAGCAAGAAGCACACGATAGATGCTATCTCAGGTGAGCTGCAGGGGGAAAGAAGGAGCTGAACTTCTCTCGTTTGCAGAGGAAGAAGGAGAAATTACACCTTAGGAGTGGACAAGCTGTGCATACAGTAACCCAGTGTGGAGAGGGCTGGTGTGAAAAGGCCAGGGTCAGCACGTGGCATTTGCCTCAAACATTAACACTTAATTGTGCTTTTAATGTCATAATAAGAGCTAATTAGGAGTCATTGGACTTCCCCTGTGGGCCCGCTTCTCCTGAGTGCCTTTCACAGCGATTCACAGCTCAGTAGAAACCAGGTGAAGGATGCAAGCATGGGAAAGATGTCTCCTGCGTGTAAGGAATGGCAGGCACAGGCTTTACCCTTGCCAATGGGTTTGATCTGTAAGTTTGAACAACACCAAAATCGGCAACAAAATATCAAGGTGTGGAGTGAAAGATGGTGTCTCTATCTCAGCTGCTAATTCTCTATCATCTGTGAGGACTTGTCCTGACAGCCTCCTTGACATTATCTGGAAAAAAAGCGATCCCAGGTCTGTTACTGTGAAAGGGAACTTCATAGTATGTGTGCAATGGAAACTCCCTCCTGGGCAGACTCAGGGCACTTCGCCATCAGCCAGCGAGGCGCGCCAGGCTGGCCCAAGCTGCAGGGTGATGCTCAGCCCCTGTGCTCCCCTCTTGCCTGCTGTGCTGCTGGCAGGGAGATGGGCAGCATGGCCTCGACCCCTTTTGCTGTAGAGGGGGAGGAGGCAGCAGTGGACCCAGCAAAGGGCTGGCGGGAGAAACAAGAGACTGCACTGTCCTTCTCTGGGCTCCAGACTGGGTCCTACATGCCAAAGGTGAGGCCAGACCTTGCTCTGCCTGTGGAACCCTGCAGAAGCCTCCACTGGCACCCTGTGCTGGGCTCTCCACAGCCTGTCTGTCCTCCCAATGAAGGTGGAGGTCGGTGATGCTCATCAGTGTGGGCCTGTGCCCCAGGCTGTTGGCTGAGCGTCAGGTGAGGTCCTGGCCCCATGTCATTGGTTCTCACCAAGCCACTGCCACCAGTGAGCTCTGCTCGGGGGGGCACAGACCTGCCAGGCACTAGGCCTTCTTCCAACAGATGGTTCAGGCTCTTCCCCCATCCTTCTGCAGTTAGTCATCCTCACAGCCACCCAAGTGCTGTGACCGCCCACCGTGCTGCCAGATCACCCAACCGAAGGCTGGCTGAGCTCTGCTCTTCTGCTGGCATGTTGTAGCAGTAAAGACATTGAAGGGCTTTTGATCACAACCAGTCTTGTCTTCAGGGACTGGCTCAGCTCTTTTGCCCCTTCCTGGGGAC